TTCTCTTCTGGTTGCTAATCTTATGATTGTGCCACCTCACCTAAATCCTTCTGTTATGTAGGCAGTTAAAGCAACTTCCTTTGGGTTTCTCTCTACTTCTGTATTTTATACCTTTGATGAGCAAAGAAGAACTGGGAAAGCAAACTCTGGCCCTTGTTTGTGTTTACGCTCTGTTAACTTGTATGTTGGCTTTGGACCACATTACATTGTACTCTATAATTTATGGGAACAATAGCATACAGAGAGTCTGAAAAAGGATATAAGCTCTATCTCTGTTTTAGTGTTTGCATGGGAGTAAACACACACACACGATAAACCTTATGGAACCTTAATGTTAAACCAAAAGTGTGAACTAAATCAAAAACAGTTTCTGTAGAAACCACAGGGTATGAGAGACAGACAGATTGTTTACCTTCATTATGGTTTTGGGGAAGACTGTAGCAGTTTCCATGGTTTCTATTGAAATCCATTAAGCAGATGGCCCCAAATCTGATGGGAGGCATTTTGTCAGATCCATTCATGTGGACTTTAAATCATTTAGATATTTCTCTGCAGCTGTTTGTTCCACATATACAAAATAGAACGATGAGGAACGAAAACATGAGCTTCAAAATTGCTGAGAGGTTTTGCACCTCACAGCACAAATGAAAATCTAATCCAGAACAAAAGCATGTTGCTACCATTGGCACTGGAGAAAATAAAACACATTTAAATGGGTGATTCTGTTCTTGACATTAGTAAAGCACTACTGAGGGAAGATTCACTTCTAATCTCCACGTATTCATCAGCAAACAAAAAATTTCTCTGGTATCTTTTCCCTACAAAACATACACAACTATCACAAAAACATGAAAAAGCCATAAAGCCACTGGAAAATCTCACATAGGGTATGCCCTACCCTCATGTGGCTGCATTAGCATGACACTATGGCTGTCACTAAAATTGTTGCTAGAGGACACATGGAGATCATCAAGGTTGTTATCAACATCGTCCAGGAACTATGAATATATGTGATATTTCATGTAAATCCATTCAATAGTTGTAGAAATATTTTGGTCTGAATCAAGGTAACTCAAAAAAAATACATGACCTCCAGATTCATAGAACAAACAACCAATTCAATTTTTTAAAATTACATTTTTAGTGCCAATATTGTTTTGCATAACCTTGATGCTTCACACGTGTATAACAGGTATACAGTACATTAATTACAATCAACTTAATATTAAATAAAACAGGTCAATGGTGGATTCAGGATCCCCATCAGTGCACAACAGCAACTGAATCCAGTCACCAGTTACACTACATTACCACAGCCTTCAATACCCTGAACTAGTGACCGCTTTACTACAGGATGGAAAAGCAGTGGTGAACTACAGAAGCAGTGTAAAAGAGGAAGGTGTCACAGCTTTGATGACAAATACTTTTT